CCTGTTGGCTGTGTAGTCTACACCCAGCCCACCATCTCCTGGGTGTTGGACAGTCTGGGTGACGTGGTCACAGAACATGTAGTTTCCAGTAGTAGCCGTAGAGACAGTAGCAAGAATAGTAGAGATAGAAGTAGTATTCTACTTTCTCTCTACCCGCCCCCTATTGCCCCCATCAACTCCTGCCTACCCTCCTTCTCCCCTCTCTCTCTCTCCAATAAAATGGGTAAGAGTGGGGAGACGATGAATATGAGGGGAGAGAGATAGGAGGGTGAGGGAGTGAGAGATAGGAGGGTGAGGGAGTGAGAGAAGGAAGGTGAGGGGAAGATGAACAGGTGGTAAGTGAAAGATGGTGAGAGAATACGAAGCTGGTGATTAGTGTCATGGTAGGTTGACGGGATAGTGAGGACAAAGTGACACGATAGTGAGGACAAAGTGACACGAAAGTGAGGGACAAGGTGCCACCATAGAACAGAGAAACGAATTGGGAAATGAGAATATGAGAAGAAAAGGGGGGGAAGTCATATGTAACAAAGCAAGAGAAGAGAATGAGAAGCGAGGGAGGAAAGATGAGGAATGAGTAAAGGGGAGCAGAGTGAGGGGACTCAGCACCAGGGCAGAGCGAGGGAGGGGGGAGGGGGAAACACACACACCCATATATCCACTCATGCATTACATATCACCATACGCCCCTAGCAATAAGCTGCTGTTTCATGCATATCACTCCTGGGATTTTTTGGCCCCCAGCCCTCCCAGCAGGTCGTTCACGCGTGCTGTTGGTGCTAGGAGCTGGGGGTGGGGCTGGGGGCTGGCTAGGGTGAAGCTCAAATGCTGGTTTAGACACAAATTGTGTTGTCACAACACAAGGGAGTGTAACAGCTGATGGGTTGGGTGTTGAGATCTGGTGGTGGCCGGGGGGGAGGGGGGTTCCTGTTTACCTCCTACATCCCTCCCACACTCTCCCACACCCCCCACACCCTCCCAACACCCTCCCAACACCACCCACACCCTCCCAACACCTCCCAACACCTCCCAACACCACCCACACCCTCCCAACACCATCCACACCCTCCCAACACCTTCCACACCCTCTCAACGATCTGCTGTACCTGAAACTCTAGCCTATAAAGAGGTTTACACTCTAAACTTTATACATATATACAGTAGAGGAAATGCCAACTGCTACAAGGTTCACTAGTCACATCTTTCAGTAATTTCAGTGAAACAGACGCTGGGACGGTACATTTAGGGATGAGAAAATGACAGACAGTGATTATAACTAGACAGGGGCATGGACAGGACATACTGATTAGCAAATCAAATTCTAGTCCTCAGTAATCAAGTTGACTTCTGAGGGATGAAGTTTGATTTCTCAGTTACCATGAAGACCCGCCCACACACCTTCTCAACAGCAGCGGTTGCAAAATTTATATGAGTGAGAATATCTTGAGTATGCACCGTTCGCCTGGATGGCGGGAGGGAAGGAATTATCAGAGGGGAAAACGCCAAGCCATTACCACTATATAGCACGGGGAAGGGGTCAGGACAAGGATTTGGGATGGGACGGGGGGGAAGGAATGGTGCCCCAACCACTTGGACGGTCGGGGATTGAACGCCGAGGGCGAGAGGGGAAACACAGATACAGCAAGAGTCAGGGGTATCCGGCCAGCAGGGACTAGACTCCCCTCTAACAACGAGGGGAGAAGCAAGGAGTCACAATATGCGACGATGATTGATGGCTCAGGACAAACACCTCTCGTGGAGGGAGAACTTGCTCACTAATTACAGGTAATATATTATTATTATGTTCAAATGGTATATGTATGTGTGTGTGTGTGTGTGTGTGTGTGTGTGTGTGTGTGTGTGTGTGTGTGTGTGTGTGTGTGTGTGTGTGTGTGTGTGTGTGTGTGACTCATTTCACTGTATTACGAACTCTGGATATAAGAAAAAAGTCTTTTTTTTTCAAGAGCTGTAAAAATTGTCCATACCTGGACTAAATCCACAAGGCAAAATTCCTATAAACACAATGGGTCAGTACAAATGTTAGTACAGAAGCCGGAAGATAAATGCCTATTGTTATTTATTTAGCGAATATTTACCTCGATTTTCCCTCTACTCAGTGTGAGAAAGACAAATTATAAATAAAAATCTAAATATGAACCAATCAGCCAATGAGCCAGAGCGCCTCCCTGGGCGTTGTGTTGACGTTCGTGACAGCTGCAGCTGCCGCGGATCGAAGCCGCTAAAACAATTGATGAACGGTTTCCCTCCGTACACATCTGACAGAAAAAAAACTAACATTTATCCTTTTCTTATTGAACATTCCCTTTATCTTTAATGTAATTATAGTTTTGTGGATGGGGGTTTCCAAGCTTTCACAGATATATATATCTTATTTCACTGTATTTAAGAAAATCTGGGCATCGTATTCTCCTGCGAACGATTTTAAACAGTCAATATTTGCCGGATCAGCGCACCGTTTGCATATCATTTGCGGATGTTTGCCGGATTTTGATATTAACTCGGTGTGACAGAACTTCAAACACAACCTCAGGAGAAAATGGTATATCTTTTTTTCCTTCCTTGTTAACGAAGTTAAATATTGCAGATGTGGAGACTAAGGACAGGATAGAGAGAGAGAGAGAGAGAGAGAGAGAGAGAGAGAGAGAGAGAGAGAGAGAGAGAGAGAGAGAGAGAGAGAGAGAGAGAGAGAGAGAGAGAGAAGAAATAGAAAGTTGGAATATGGAGAAAGCCATGCATGGAAGGAGTGATTAGAGGATAGGGAGGACGAAGTAGAGGAAGTGCGGGAAATAGTGATTAGAAGAATGAAAAGAGGAACAGTGTAAGGAAGAGATGAGATCACAGCAAGAGAGAGAGAGAGAGGACAGAGGCAAAATAGACAGTAAAAGGAAATTGGGAAACAAGTGAAAAGGAAAGCATATAGCAACACTATTCCCCATTTCCATCATCACCTACAATGAAAGAGGCCTGGTCGACGACCGGGCCGCGGGGACGGTGAGCCCCGGAAGCACCTTAAGGTAAGGTACAACACCACCTTGTCGTGGTGGGGGACGGTGTTGCAGCAACAACCCAATACACTCTCCCCCACTTAAACACTACCGTCAGGAAAAATGGAGAGAACCTTTAACAAGCCGCTGACTTCCTGTCCCCGTCGTGGACACTAAATAGATGGTGGCCCCCTCAGGTAAATACAGGCAAATCCCCCAAGAGTGCTCAACTTTATAGAGATGCCAGCCATTTAAAAGGCTTTGCAACATGCTCATACTGAGCACAAACTACACAATATCGTAGGTTCAGATTCGAGAATTGCTTCCGAAACCTTTTAACAAGATCACAAGTTACAACATGCATCTGACCACAAATGTTACACCATTAATTCCAACACTCAAATGTCAAGGTTGAAGAATACATATTATCTGGGTGCCAAGTCATGTAGGAATAACAGGAAGTGATAATACAGTTGACGCCGCAAAACTCTCAACTAAAAGAAGGCGTATGGGCATACCACATTAGATTAGGAAAATATTTTTGAGATAGAGCAATACAGACAGTGTACAGCGACCATATCACAGCAGCTGAGACATCAGGTTATCTTGAGGTTATCTTGAGATGATTTCGAGGCTTAGCGTCTCCGCGACCCGGTCCTCGACCAGGTTCCTTTTTGTTACAACCCCCCCCCCCCGGGAAGCAGCCCGTAGCAGCTGTCTAACTCCCAGGTACCTGTTTCCTGCTAGGTAACTGGGGCATTAGGGTGAAAGAAGCTTTTTGCCCATTTTTCTCCGCCTCCACCGGAGATTGAACCCGGAAACTCAGGACTACGAATCCGAAGCGCTGTCCACTCAGCTGTCAGGGCCCCCAGGATCTGAAGGTTTGTACAAGAATTCGACCAACTATAAGTACACATTTTACTGTTGAGTTAAACAGAGGCTACAGTTAAGGATTTGCGCCCAGTAAGTCAGGATTATTGGAAGATATTCTTGTGCTGTACCTAGATTTTGCCAGTGGAGGCTAATAGGTCAGCCTTACATTTCATGTTCTCTCCTGATTTTTAGTCAAGAATTGATTTGTTTTATATTGAAGCTGGTACTTGGTACTGGTACCCCCCTCCCCCCTGATTCCATGTATGACTAACCATCCTGTGAGATGGGAATATTAGATGAATTTATAGTTTTTTATCTACACTGTAATTTTTCATATAGAATAGGGTAGCAGCACATTGTTGTGTATACCTAAGCTTGTTAAAAAAAATTGATCCTTACAAATAAATAATGATTTTAATAATAATAATAATAATAATTTATTATTATTATTATTATTATTATTATTATTATTATTATTATTAATTGCATCTTGTGGAGGGTCAGGAGTTCGGCCTTGTGGGAGGGGGGGGTGGTGCTTCGATATAAGGTGACACGGGTATGAATAGCCCGTAAGGCTCGATATAAGCCTAACATGTATATATATATATATATACACTGGCTGCTTGTCCCTCGACACAGTGAATTGTTACTAAAAGTATTAAAATCTTTATTAAAAGTATTTAAAGTAAAGTATTTTATTAAATACTTTATATTTATTTATTTAATATTTATTTAAAGTATTTAAAGTAAAGTATTTTGCCCGAAACGCTATGCGTGCTACTGGCTTAACAAGAATGTTAATTCAACTTATTTTCTATATTCTCTGTTAACCCTCAATGTAACTTCTTGTATATAAAATAAATAAATAAATAAAGTATTATTAAAAGTATTGACATCAAAGTGTAACAAATTATTATTATTAAATGGCTTCTTTATCCGGTTCACGCAGATTATGCTATTTGCCTAAACACGTATCATTTAATACTCACAAGAAAAATATATATACATATTAAATTATGTTATTTGATATATATTTTTCCTTTAATTTAAAGCAAATTTTTTTATTTTACTATGACTGAATTATAATTTGACACCAGAAAGCATTGATGTAACCCTGACTCAAGGAGGTAAACACCAGACAACGCTCCAGGATGGCCGCCTCGCTACTCAGTACCAGCTTCTTGTGTAGTGATTTTTCTCCTCGCAATCTCCTGGGCGTCAACACTGACGTGGAGGAGCATGTCCTGATAACTAGCAAGAGTGTGGTTAAGCGCTATAATGTAAGTAATGGTCATTTATCTCCTGAGAACGTTGGTTCCTGCGGGTATCAGTGAGTCTTGGGGAGATTTCATCTCCGTTGTCGGGGACAGGAAGCTTGGGTATATATTTTTTATTATTTATTTATTTATATATACAAGAGTTCTTACATATTTGTACAGCTACTATAGCACGCATAGCATTTTGGGCAAGTCTTTAATCCTAATTTTCCTCGGAATACGACCCGCCAAATCGTTTAACAACCAGGTACCCATGCACTGCTGGGTGAACAAAGTCTACAGTTAAGGATTGGCGACTAGTAACTCCTCCCTGGCCAGGATACGAACCCAAGCCAAAGCTCTCGCGAAACGCTAGGCGAGTGTCTTACCACTATGCCACGGAGACTGCTTAAATATATATGCGTTAGGCATATGTCGTTTTTAAGTTACTTATTTGTTTTTAATTCGTAACAAAATGATTCCTAATTCAGTTCTACCTGGCATCTATTGGACACATCCCTGCATTGAATTTGGATCCTCCTGTATGTATTTTCAGGTTCTTGATCGGAGACAGATTAGAAGTTGGACAACAAAGAGTTGGAACCCCTTCACCTCGGCCGCTGTGTATGACAAGGAATCAAACAAAGTTGTATCAGTCATCAGTAACACAACCTTATCTCAATGGAGTCATGAGGATGATGACATTGATAAAGTCAAACGACATGCTGTAAGTACTGTATAGTATTGTATATTTTTTTTTTTCATGCATGTGAATTTGCACAGAGATTGGCATAATTATTTACTTGCTAATATTGTCGTGAAAAACAAGAAAAATCTTGTCTTTGTAAACATACTATGTCCAAATTTATTAATTACTAGCCGTATCCTGCCACGCATTGCTGTGGCTCGGCAACACATGTGCATTGCTGAGCCACAGTAACCTTCCCCTGTCTCCCAGTCCTCCCCACCATTCCAATGCAATGTCACACAAAAAAAATTAAATCAAAATGAAAATCAATCAAAATCTATGAAAATTCAATTTGTCAATGCAATCAGAAACATTGAAATGGATCATAACAAATTTAGTATAGTATGTGTTGCTCTTACATGCAACAGATGGCTATGGCGCTGGTTCTTAAAAAATGAATAATTTTACCCGTCACAGGTATGGCATCTATACATATACTCGTGTATATGTATAGATGTATATATAGATATATACATCTATACATTTTCATTGTCTATTTCAGGTCAAATTTAAAACAAAAATAGAGATATTGAAACCTGTCCTGATACATGTCATTAATTTTCTTTATTGTAATAGCATTAAACAATTGAACATGTATCTTCTACAGTTTGAAACACCAATTCATCAGCTATTGGCTAGTGAAGGTACCGTGTATGTGGTCTTCACAAGTGGCCAAATCGAAAATCTAGCTACTGCACTAAACTCTAGAAAGCAAGTCAAGCCAGGGTTCCTGTCTGAAGGAGAGTCCATTTGCTATGTACAAATCATTAAGAATGCCAAGCTGGTAGTTATGGTGGTGGAAAAGGAGGTAAGGAATTGCCCTTTGTATTTTACTTCTCTGGGTCTCTTGAGGTTATCTTGAGATGCTTTCGAGGCTTTTTTTTAGTGTCCCCGCGGCCCGGTCCTCGACCAGGCCTCCACCCCCAGGAAGCAGCCCGTGACAGTTGACTAACACCCAGATACCTATTTTACTGCTAGGTAACAGGCTAGGTCTACTTATAGGGTCTACTTATAAAAATATCTATTATGAAAGGCGATGAGTCACAATAATGTGGCTAAAGTATGTTGACCAGACCTGGACCATTCTCAAGTCAATTATGAACACAATCGACTTGAGAATGGTCCAGGACGGAACGAAATGTCATCGTCCCTTCACCTTCTAGTGTGTGATCTGGTCAACATCTATTATGAAACACAAATCTTAAATTAAGCAAACCATGAATCACAATAACGTGGCTGAAGATACGATGAGCAAACCACACGCCAGAAGACGAGGAGACGACAGTGTTTAGGTCCGTCCTGAACCATTATCAATTCGATTGTGCTGCATCCTTAAAGTTAAAAGAACAGAATTGATATTCTTTCATATGAGCAAAAGAAACAGTAATACAGTTCTAATGTAGAGAATAGATGGTAGTAGAGACAGTGAAATGCATGATAATGAAAGGAGTTGATAAGAAACATGTGCTTAGTAGTTAAAGTGAATGAGAAAACAAGTGTGTACATGAAGGATAAGTACAGTGGATGGGGTAAATTGAAATGTTGCCTTTTAAAGTATTGAGGGGAAGTTTGATAAATATTTATTGTAGGTAATGTAGTTCACTTGTAGTTCACTAATCAGCTTCATTGATTAATGCATTTCTCATTGTTAATATAAGTTCCAGAAAGTAGATACAATAGCATTAACGTAACCTGTAATCTACCAGAAAATTACATGACCATGGGGACGTTGATCCTCAGAACTAATGCAAGGTCTACAGCAGGGATTACTAGACCTGTTTGTTTAAAAATCAATTTCTTTTTGCAGTTATGTATTTTGCAAATGTGAAAATTATTAAAGAGTTACAATATTCAATGACAGATGAACGCTCTGTTCTATTTCTCCATATAGTATAGATGTTATAAATGTGTTCAATTTCAAATGGCATACAGTATATTTTTTATATGCACTTGCTAGCTTTTCTTTCTAACCACAGGGCAGTCCTCTACGACTGTTTCGGCTGGAGCTGACTGAATGTATGTCTAGTGCCTCCGTTAGTCACAGTTTAACGCTGGCCAATGCTCAACTCTCGGGAATCTGTGCTCTGTCGTCCTCAGAGCTCGTCACACTGTGTATGTAGACTACGCCTTATAGAAATTCTTAAGTCTCTCATTCAAGTGTTATTGCTTTATTTTTGGTTATATCTTTAATCTTGATTCTTAACCAATTAAGGAAACTCATCTTTGGGTACATTTCTTGTTATTTACTGTTAAATAGTCTAAATGGATACAAATGTTGTCACAACAGTTTATTGTAGCATTGAGAGAATACTATATTCTCTTGTCAATATATTGTTGCCATTTGCACCAGGGTCTACAGGAGATATATATAGTTTTGATCTTCAAACTGAGTACCTCGAGAAACTGCCGGGACGACAACGTGCAACTGAAAAATCAATAGTGGCCTCGAAAAACTCCAAAATTTTGGAGTTGTCTCCAAGTCACATTGCTATTGTTGGCTTAGATAAGGGAGATGAAGGCAAGTGCTTGCTGTATTTTTGTTTTTTTTAGGTTAAGCTGCAGTTATACAATATGCACTTTAAGCAAATAGTTATACAGCATTTAAGAAACCCTAACTAAGCTAATTTTTCGTCCTAGAGATCACAGCTCAACAAAACTGAAGGACATTGTCCTAATGATTACTGCTTTATTTTGCTTTGGTTACAGCATGCTTGACAATCTTCAAGTATTGTGGTTTTTTGTAAGGCAAACTGTTGTACTGTACTGTACTCTCCATTTCTTTATCTGTAAATGCTTTGTTGTACTTTTATTTTTGTTCTTAATCTTTTTCTGCTTATGTTGAAAAATATATCTTGTATGGGTATATTCCAGAATAATTATCATAATGCATTTTGATATAGAGTGCATGTAGTGTTGCTTAATGTGGGAGAAGACTGCAGTATTTTACTTCATATTTTATTTTTTTTCACGGTGAGTAATGTCAAATGTCAATGGCTGGATATAGTTACAGTATTCCCAGTAAAGGTATATGATAGATCAACTTTCTTCTTTTAAAGAAGAATAAATAGGAGCCTTGTTTATTTACGAGTCCTCTGGAGCAGTGGTACAGGCAGTCGTGTTATGGTCAAACAGTCCTGGATTCAGTTTCCTGTGGCAGGAACAAAGTGTTTCAGCAATGTTTCCTTTCAGCTCTGATCACCTAGCAGTAAATAAGGTCCCCTACACTTGAAACAATCGAGTACAGTAATCACTCGTCTATTATGTTGCCCGGCAATTTATTCCAAAATTGATAACCCTATTATGCCGTGACTGCTTAATACTGTACCTGTAATAAACCTACAAGACTTTTTATAAATTCCCTGTGGTACCAATGCCAGATTATCATCATGCCTGACTGTCCACAATACTGTCATGACACAGCGGATCTTGCCTTAGGGATAATGAAATGTGTTGGTTCAGACAGGTGCTTTTGTTGGCTCGGTACTCCAAAGCCTGATATTTGTGTCTACTTTCTACTTTCTTTGTGTACCTATAATAAAATGAATTTGTCATCTATAAAATTATAATGTTATATTATACAGGTGGATTACTAGTGCTCTGGGATATCAAGTTTGCTATGGTCACTAGTTGTCGTAAGCTGAAGATGTACCACAATCCTCCACTAGCCTGGGTGTTGACAGAGGGAGTGATTGTGGCTGAAGGCGGGTCGCTGGCTCTCATTCCCTATGTTGTTCAAGAGTCTAACCTGGCAACAGTTTTTGGTACCAAAGTATCAGGTAAGTTCTCTGCTGTAGTGTAACTTTGTTTTGAGCTAGTACATATCAGTTCCCCAGTATAAGACTTGTTTATGACACCAACAGCTCCTCCTCCACAGTATTATGGGTCATATTTTGTTCGCTTGGATAATCAGTGATAAACTTGGAGCTCCAAAGAATGTTTAATGCATCAGTGGAGTAGTAGTCTGTCTACTTTCTGAACATTACTGTGAGCATTTATTAAACATACACATCATTATTTTATAATAAAGGTGGGCTGGGGAATGCAAGTTGAGCAGGCAGGCAGTGTTTTTGCAGTGGCAACTTGTAGCAACCACCAATGCACAATTACCATAAATATTGTTGAAATGCTTATAGAAACATGTGGAAGATATAATACTGAATACGTCTTCACATTTACTCCTAGCAAATGTGCTGTAGTGTTTAATTCACTAGATGGCGGCACTGGAGCTTAGTCGGTGGAATGTGTGTCTGTAGGCCCATTCTGACTAGTGGCTCTAGGAACAAGTTTAGAAAGGCGTTTGATTTAGCTTTACACCCTAATTTTTCAGAAACACGTGAATTTCCCTCTGAAGTTTGTCATAGCTGGTTGAACGAAAAACACAGAGCTCATCAAGAAATGGTGCCAAAGGAAGCAACACAAACTATATTCTGCAATAAAAGCAAGGAGCTTGGTAATATAGTTCAGAATCTACATAGAGGAGCCTTGTCTGAGAGCATGTAAGTATTCTGGACACTCAAAAATGCTTAAAATACAATTACTGTATATTTGTCATCATTTAAGTAATAGTAATGTCTTTCCACAGACATAATAACATAGGATAAAAACCTACACTTATGTATCTGTGAAATTTATGTAGAGATTTACACCAAGTCACATGTGGTTAACATGTGCCCCAGTGATTACTTCTTGGGTAGTTGTATCATCTATTTACAGTATTTTATACAGTACTTGCAATAACTCTTAACTTCAGGACCTGGTTTGCCTGTAATATTTGATAAATGGCATAAAGCATTTTAGATATATTGATTCTTTTTTTTTCCTTTTAGAGCAATTTCTTGAACATTAATTGCATTTTCTGTATTTACAGACTTGTGGCAGAGGTGCTGGCACAGCTAATAGACCAGAAGAAGCTGCGTCTCCTCGATGAGGCGATTGACGTGTTCAGCAATATCCCTGAGACGTGTCTTGTTGACGCCCTCAACTTTTACTTGCAGTGTAAAGATATGGAATTTGAAGGTCTGTGCCAGTGTCCTCCACTACAGATGGAGTTTGAGCCTCTAGAGGAAGATGGAGACAGTAGGTGTTTTGCAGATGTTTATTTGTGACTTAATTTTTATTACTCCATGCTTGGCAACATGAGATATTATTGCTTCTTACTATATTAATGTTCTATTACCAATTCATCTATTTTTTTTCTTGGAGATGGACCATTTGCATATGGTAAAAATTAAGAATTTAAACGAAATACAGGATACAAGATAATCAGATCTTGTCATAATGGGAAAACAAAATGGAAAGACTGCTACCAAAATATACTAGTACATATATATATTTAATGTATATAATATACACACACACACATATTTATAAACCTATGTTTTGTTTTGTTTCCAGAAATCATATGTCCATTTAATTCCGCCAAGGCACATTTCATAAATGGGGTTTTGCAGAAGCCCTTTACAGATGTACAGCTGCTCATTGATCTACCAAGAATTTCTTTCAGCAATGCTCTCGTTCTCATTCAGTACCTGCATTACTTGATAGCAACTGGTGAGGTAAGCTACTTGGGTAAGAATTTGTCTGGCTGCTGTGGTACAGTACTTGTTCATGTAAGTTTAAATCTTAGGCCCAGATTTATTTAGTATTGCCATACCTGCATTGCTTTGGCTGGAATGTCATCAGATATTTTTCCATGCCTGTTAGTAATATAGCCCTTAACTCTCTGACTGCTTGAGTAAGGGGTGACATGAATGAAATATACAAATGGCAATTATGCTTCCTTCAAATACCAATTCTTACACCTCACACCTTTTCTCCATATTATTTTTTTTTACTCAATTAAGGTACAGTATATACTGTATTTGCCGGCGTAAAAGATGCACCCTCGCATAGGATGCACCCCTATTTTACGAGGATATTTTGTGGGAAAAAATCTATTTTATGTTTCATCATACATTTATTGAGAGATTTTAAAGTGGATTTTGTACCTCAACTCTTACCTCCTCTAAGATCAGCTGTGGTGTAGTTGTATATATTTGGGGCAAGAGAATTGCCATACAGGTTGTGAAATTTGTATTTCTGGATATGATGTTTTGTTGCTTCGTCAGGCCACCAGGGAGGCGTACCCGGTGGTGATGCACCATCACAGCGCTCTGGTGGTGTTGTCATTCATGCATTGCAAATGGCTGACAGGCAGATGAAAATTGAACATTCCTTTCAAATTTCCAGGAGCAATTTTTCATTTAGATAATGAATAAATGTGTCTTAAAGGTAACACAGTCGATAAATAATGTATGACATACAGTATATCGGGTGTGGGTTGTGTATGCTGGGTAAGGTGGCGGGATGATGTGAACTTCCTTAATAATTGCCGACGTATCATAAGTGTGTGATAACAGACTGTGATAACTTGGCTTGCTTTCAATATTTTATTATTAGTAACTCAGTTTACTGTAATAATTTGGTTTGTTTTCAATATTTTGTTGTTGGCAACGATTTTTGTGCCTAGTGAACTTACCCCAGTATGCTCGTCCGGCCCCCTAGCCTATGGCACTCATCTCCCATCCATAATACAGCTGCATTAGACGCAGTGCACTTTTTTAATATACTGTATTTAAAAATAAAAAAGCACTTCTTATACACCGGCAAATATGATATGTAATATAATTTTTAATGATGTAGCATGTAGTCTACAGAATACATATGTACAGTATATTTAAGTATATTGGAGTTGACTTACAATCTTGGAAAAAGTTTTTGTTTTGTATATAATCTTTCATCTTGCTTAAGACTTATTCACCATTTCAAGTCCTGTAATGATTAATGGTAAATATAAGCCTCGGGCCGGGCTTGGGGAGTAGAAGAACGCCCATAACCCCATCAACCACGTATAAAAAAAAATAGCATTCTTTTTATACGTATAAAATGTATAAAGACAGTTCTTAAACAACATACTGTAGATCGGCTAGAAAACAACACACATCAATTTCTTCTTTTTTTGTTTTTGAGAAAAGGAAAGCAGAATTAATTTTTGCCTGTAACTTGCAACTAAAATATAAGAATTTCCTTTTGTAAACATGCTTATTTGTTTTATTTTATGATGGTGTATTCAGTCTAGAGAATGACGTGAGTATGATATCACTTCAAAATGCAGATCTTTCCTGATATCTGCAGACACATCTCCATCTGACGATGAAGTTCAAAGAGCAGTGCACAAGTGTATGTGCGTTAAATAATGTATGACGTATAAGCAAGCAACTGAAGAAAGTCATTCCAGATGGAATCCAGGCCTTAGTTTTACAGTGAAGTCAAATATAGTTCAATATAGTCACTTGAAGGCAAGTGACTATATTGAAAAGTAAAGAGGTTCCTTAACCTAGATTTTAGTCAATAATTTTGCATTTAGCTTTTACTATTTTTCATTCGAACCATCCTCAAATATGATTCCAAATTGGCTTTTGTTTATTAATTTCAGGCAGAAGAGAACCCAGAAGGGGTGCGTGTGCCTTCATTGTGTCAGGCCAGCTTGTGGCTCAGCATGCTATTTGACACTAATTATCACCAGCTGGTCTTGACCTCTGAGGTCAGCATCCACCGCCTCCTCCTCTCCTGCTTTACACACATTACAAACTTGGTAAGTTTATCATATTGAAACCATAATAGATGTAAAGCTAATTGGAATTGCATGTCTTATATTTACTTGCTGTACATATATCACTGACTTTAATATAATAACTGCAGTAAACTTAAAACTTGTTCCAACTAATTTTAAGTCATTGTAGCAGTTTTGTTAAGGATGGTATTTGATTAGCAATTTCCGAATTTGGTGGCATAGTGGCAGCTCACTCATCCCATGCCTAGCAAGCAATTTTGGTTGCGTTTGAGCCCTGACCAGGCACCAAGCATTAATTATTTGCCCCTGTTCATCCAGCAATAATTGGGGACCTGGGTGTTAACCAGTTAGTAGGTCTTGTGCCAGGGAAAACTGGTAGGGTATGGCTTACCATAAGATATAGAAAGGGATAGCTCTCAGCCTGTTAACACTTTGGCATACCCTGCACGCCACCCCTCAACTGTGCGATTTGGGTCCCAGGGTGTCACTGGAGCGTGCGTAAATTCTGAAAAGTGTATACTCTTCAACTTTGTCACCTTAATTCTCGTCCTACGAGATTAAATTTGGTATCATTGTGTTCACAATAGAATTCTCTACAGCACTAAATGCATATAAACTCCAAAAACCCGGCTAATTACCCGCAGCAAACAGAGAAAGTGCGAACGAGTTACCCAGGAGCACGCAAACGCGATAAAATGTTTTCACTATTTTCACTCTGGTCACCTCAATTTTCGTCCTAGGTCTTTCATTTTGGTCTCAATGGGTTTGCAATAGAATTCTCTAGAGGAACATTAGCATATAAAATAAAAAACCTGGTCACGCTCCAACCGCCGACGAGTTGAAGACAGGCCATGCGTTAGCCGTGAGTGCGCGCTCAGACGCCTTCCAGCTACACTCCCAATTCCCGCCCTTTTCAAGCCTTTCTTTCGCAATTTTCTTCCTGGAAGGGCCTTGTTCATGATCACTATCCATCGTGGAGTAAGCGTAGATAGTTTCTAAAGCCACAGTAAGAAATATAGCCACGGAAAATAGCCGAAATGTTCACATGTTTGAGATGGGAGGGGAGGCGACATCGGTCACAACAGTGGAGCGAAAACAATGGGCCGACGGCATGTGCCGAGCCGCCTGCGGGCCACGAGGCGCAACAAAGAAAATGGGAAGACATCGGCGCGCATTTTAAAACCAGTCCCCCAAAAAAATGGATAAAAACCTGATTTTTGGCGATTATTTAAAGTGACGCAATGCTGCGTCATCCCCGGTATTACCGGCAGTAAACGGATGACGCAGTGCTGCGTCATGCCCGGGCGAAAGTGTTAATTAACAGGAGTCACAAGTTATCTACTCCTGTGCCCACCAGTGTTAAAACAAAAATCGTTTGAAACGTATTATTAGATACCTGCTTGATGGGATTCTTCTACTCCCCAAGCCTGGCCCGAGGCCTGATAGTAGTTCTCTATGGATTATAATCCTTCCAAAGTCAAATATTAAACTAGTACACAGAAAACTTAGTTATATTATAATTTCAAGAATGAATACCATAATTTGTGTACATGTATAGTACCCATTTGTTGCTAATACTGGAAATGTGATGGGGTCTTAGCAAATATCAGAGCGCACACACACACACACACAGTCACTACCATGTTGTTGTGTCTAATGTAGGGGAGGAGGTACCTGATTATAATGGATGGTCAAATATTGATAATGACTTTCAATCTTCCATAATGCCTTACATACTTGGTAGAATCATTGCAGCCACACCCGAGCAAATTATTAACAAAAGTATCTCGAGTTCATAGACTTGATATATTGTACTTTGCGAATTGTAAAAGACATCAATCATACATTCTCTTTTAGTGAAACACTTCAGCGAGGCTTATCCATTGGCACTTTTCATCATTGTTCAATTTCTCATATTTAAGTCTTATCATTTCTCTCTTGGTCCTACGCACAAATTTTTTCATATGCACTCTGCACTGCTAATTCATTTGTGTACATTCTCTCCATTACTTTTGTCCTTGATTAATTGAGTATGACCATGTAACTACCTAAAGCTAATGACAATTGTTGATGTGCAGTAGTTGTGCTGGTTCACATTATCACTATGTTCACAAGCAATATCTAGATGTACTGTAATTGTACGATAGCCAGGGGGAGATAGGGGGAGCCAGTCGGCCGAGCAGACAGCACGCTGGGCTTGTGATCCTGTGGTCCTGGGTTCGATCCCAGGCGCCGGCGAGAAACAATGGGCAGAGTTTCTTTCACCCTATGCCCCTGTTACCTAGCAGTAAAATAGGTACCTGGATGTTAGTCAGCTGTCACGGGCTGCTTCCTGGGGGTGGAGGCCTGGTCGAGGACCAGGCCGCGGGGACACTAAAAAGCCCCGAAATCATCTCAAGATAGGCAAACAGTTTGTAGAATTCTATGGGAAACAACTGAAATGTAAAATTGTTAGCAACTAAGTGATTTTAAAAGGGTAATGTCATTGATATTTACCTCCATTCAAGTAACATTATTTTTCAACAGCGCAAGTTTCTAGAAGGTTTGGTGGATACGGAGCCTTTAGTCAAGTGGGTTCTGGAGGCCAAGAGTCTTCCCAAACAAACGCATTCTTCTGCCCTGTACTCGATTGAACGTCTAATTATAAGTTGATCTCAAAATACTTGGTAGACATCATAAATCAAACAATTATTTTATAGATGGAATAAGATGCTTAGATAAAGTGGACAATAGTGAGTGTTTTCAATTTGGAAAGCTTTATGGTTAGTTTTTTGTATTGTTATTAAATTTGTGCCAGATATAATATACAACACAAATGTTGGATATTAATATATTTTACATAAAATGCTAAAAACTTACAATTAAAAATCAAATTCACTTTGAAGAATTCTTTTGACCATGCTTTTGAGAATTGAGTGCAATTTTTCTTCTTTTTTTTGTCAATGAGTTCACTGCGGCACTCGACAGATTACTGTTCACCCAAAGTGAAGTGGATGTCGAGGAAATAGAATCTGAACTACCACTGCTTTATTGTTGTAAATTACACAAGACTACAAACTGTTAAGGCCTACATGCAGGGAGTTCCTGTGGGAAAACGGTAAATCTAAGGAAGATTTCTAAGGAACAACATGATATTTTCCTAAGGAAGGTTTCTTAGGAACAACATATTTTTCCTTCGCCTGAAACAAATATATATTAAGTTGTGTTAGGACAAGTTGACTGAGTTAGTGGTTACAAAGGTAGAAGCTATTACACAACAAAAATAAAGCATAGTTTGTCCCCAGGAGCAGACAGTCTTTTTCCCAGTGTCCTTAAAGAATGTAAAGATGAGCTCAGTGAACCCATTTATTAAATTTGAATAAATAATTAGTCAAGCAGAATACCGGAGTCATGGAGGGTTGCATATGGAGTTGCAGGCTCTTACAGATGGAAACGGTTCACATTTGCTTCGAACTATTAGCCAATTTGTTTAATGTCAACTGAGGAAATTTGCTTGAATCATTGATCACAAAAGTCATTTGTTTACATCCTGAAAAAACATAAATTTATAAAGGATTAACAGCCTGCTTTTACTAAGGACTGATCATTATTAAAAAATTTACGTTTTTTCTTCAGGGCGTTTGATAATGGAAAGGATTGCAGTAACTTGTGTGTATCAAAGCCTTAGATAATGTACTTCATGAAAGACTTTTTTTTTTTTTCTTTCTTTTGAAAGTTGAAGGAGCATGGCACTGGGGAGGTTGTCTAAAGTTGAGTGAGGGAATGGTTATTTCAAAGGCAACAGGTCTAGCACGAATGGAGTTTAACATTTTGGTTAAAATGTTAAAATTCCACCCAAATCGCACCACAAGGTAAGCCGGATGTTGTCGATGAGCACACAACCCAATGTTAAACTCTTTCACTGACAATGTTTATACTTAGTAATAAGAATAAGCAATAATTAATGCATGGTGGCATTGACGTCATACCCTAAACTGCGTGTATTTTTTGATGACTCTGAGTGCGCCATAATCCAGCGAAAGTGTTGAGTTTAGGTGGGAAACCGTTGCAAGAGGAGTACCGTAGGGCTTGGTCTTGGGACCTCTATTGTTTGCCATACATATAAACAATTTAGACATAGGATTCAACTGCAATGTTTGCAGATATGCAAATAATACGATTATAGAGTGGGGTACATATTTAAGACACAAAATTGCTTCAAGATGATTTAGTTAGACTTTTAACCCTCTGAATATGACTTATTTCGTCAAAATTTTAAATTTGCCTGTGCACAAAAAATATATAGACAATTTGACAAAATAATTTGTGCTTATTAAATGATTCATTTGCATGAAGAAAGAAAACTCTCTCTTCTGGTCTTCTGGTTTTGAGAGTTGTAGAAGGAAACCAGATGAAAGGGAATATTAAGAAAGTGTTAAATACTGTATAACCCTAAACAGTGGATACAAAGTGGATAAGTTTAAATACAGAAAAGATCTGGTTTGGAAAAGATCTGGTTACAGAAAAATACTGGTTTGGAAAAAGAGCTGTCGATTTAAAGTGCAGATTACTGAATAACATAATCAGTGTATTCACCTAGTTGTGCTTGCATGGGTTGAGCTCTGGCTCTTTCGGCCCGCCTCTCAACTGTTAATCAACTCTTTTTTTTTTTTTTCACACACACGCACCCAGGAAGCAGCCCATAACAGCTGTCTAACTCCCAGGTACCTATTTACTGCTAGGTGAACAGGGGCATCATGGTGAATGAAATTCTGCCCATTTGTTTCCGCCATCGTTGGAGATCGATTCCTGGTCCCTAGGATTATGAATCCTGAGTGCTGTCCACTCAGCCACCAGTGTGGGATTGCTTGATTGTTTCAAGCAAAGGTTAATCATACTGTATGAGTAAATTTGTTGGAATAAATAGAAGGTGCTGTCTAAGAGCCAATAGGCCAGTAGTTTCTTTTATTTTTGTGTTTTGTGTTTAATAGACAATGCAGAGATGCCTAAAGGAATGGAAAAAATATGAACACAACAAAGTAAGCAGGTTTAGGGAAAGCTCTCGGCTGCTAGCAGAAGTCAGAATGCATCTACTCCTGTACTTAAATGTGTATAAACATAGAGGAAAACAAAGAAATAAGTATACTGGAGTTAGAATAGATGCTAAAAAACAATTTGACAATGATCCTGGCACAAAAGCCAAAGATCAGCCCAAGCTGGTACACTTGCATGGGTATTTGTGCCACAACTGAGTATTTGTCCCACCATATGTCCACTTAATTCAAACGGCAAAGAGTCCAGCTATATTTAAAAAAAAAAAGTTTGGGAATATTTTACACCTAGGTGTATGAAGTAGTATGGCAGTACTGGGGTATTTTAGTGGAGTGTGACTGCAGTTTCAGTGTAGTATTACTGGGAAGTTGATAGGTTTGTGTATTTTAACCTAAATTCTGTTTCTTCTGGGGCCAAATAACTTCCAGTCCTGTCAAAGTGAGGAATGGGTTTGTGAAGAATATTGTGAATATTATCTATCTATATATAGATATTCATATTCTTCATATTGAAGAATATGAATATCTTCATATTGAAGAATATGAATATCTTCATATTGAAGAATATGAATATCTTCATATTGAAGAATATGAATATCTTCATATTTCCATATTGTTGTGCTTAGTGTTTTAATTGTCAGTGAAAACAAATTTCAGTCTTGAATCGTTAATATCTTTAGCATGCATGAATTGTATTTGCTTCATATATTTCAAATATATAAAAAAGTAACATGCTTAACCTAGTCATCCCATGTGAGTTCCATAATCAGGATTCATCCAAGACATATTTGTATCTTTTTATGTGGCCTTTCTCAGAACAATTGACATTTTCTACCTTGTTTCTTGTGCCAGGTTAGTACGACGGACTCACCATAGCTCGTGCTACTTGGACCTTTTTGTTCAGAGTAGCTGAATCTAAAACAATAACAATGACATTTTTGCATCCAGAACCCAATGGAGCATCCTGTCACCTGAACTTGTCATATATTTCACGCTTTATTCATTTATAGCTTATCCATCTCACTATATTAACATGACTATCCTGAATTATATGCTGGTGTGATAATTAAAACTGCTTCTTAATCGCGTTGAAGGATATGCTATTTGATTGGGGAAAATAGGTAAGGATTATGGTGGAGTGTTGTGCACAGTGGTACGACAGCAGACCTTGTGACCATTGACAGAAGCAAGAAGTTTGGGCAAGCTTCCTTACACCTAATTTATGTTTACTTACGAGTTAATAAGAGTTAGGCAACTGTTGTGAGTGTTGAGTAAGGTCAGTAGTTGGCCAAGGCCTATGGGAACCTTGATAATCCTAACAGGCTTTCTATCTCTGACAGTGGTAAAGATTGTCCCTCGCTAGCAGATTTGGAGCCATTTCATGTGAACAGATTTAAAAAAACATACACTCCAATAAATAGATGTTTTATAAGCAGGTATAGTGGGATCCTTGGAACATTGTCTAGATATTTGTAGCTATGCAGAATAGTTGGATTTCACATTTCCACATATTAAATAAGTCAATGTTATTAATATTACTCTCATGGTAGGTCAGTCAGTACGGTTGATCAGTTCCAACTAGAATCATAATAGATTAATTGGTTATAGAGGGAATTAAAACACACATACGTTGTTGAGCTTTAATAATATTCATTCATAAGATTTAATTTAAATGGCAAAATGAAGCAACTTTATTAAATTATTCATATATTTTTTTATTAAATATATTAAATATATTTATGAGGAATTTCAGAAAACCTGTACTGTATTTGCAAAACACAAAGTTAAGAATGAGATGATCAATCATGATCAATCAAGCTTTAGCATTATACTTTTAAGGTGTTCTTGTTTATACAAACTTTACTTATAAACTACAGCAAAGTTCAGCATTACTTATAACCCCCAATTGCAGCAAAGTTGCCTCGTGGTGAAACAAGAAGGGGCTGGAAACTGATATGTGCGAACTGAGACTTACGCGAGCCTAGCCAAAGTAGATATTTAGCAAATGGCATATAGTGAGGTAATCATAAAGTATCCTGTCTATGTAGATGAGAGTTGCTTCTGCATTTAAAGCTTTTGGAATATTTATTCCAAATGACGATGGGGTTGGTCATTGAATGATGAAAGTTGGCTACTCAAGTCTTGAGTACTGGCCTTGCTTCAGGTTAGGGCTGGCTTTGCCCAAACATTAATGGACTGATATTGTCTTGACATTAGTCAAAACGTTATCTGGCTTTGCCCTGATGCTTCAAGCTATCCAGGAATGCAATTGCAGACCTCGCGGGCTTCGGGACTTGCTGATGTATAGGTTTCAGCCAGAAATGCCAGATTTACCTACGGCACCCCCACGGCCGAGCCTTCAACATCTCTGGTGGTCTACCAGCTGCAACGATGAGGGTCTGGTGAAGCATGGCGACACCATAACCTCAAGAGTGCCTAGCTTCAGCCTACAGTGTTTGGTCCCCTGAGTGGGCGTGGTGACCCTAGGCGGGTGAAGCTCACAGCACCCAGTGAGTGTTGCGACGGATAGGAACACAAACAAGCTTGATGGGTCCTCGGTACACGTGGTTGTGGCGCCCGGCCATCTTCTTGCCAAGACACCGTTGGGCGATCATCAATGCCTTCTGGCCTCGGTACACCTTCTCTGTTGTGAAGCTGACGGATGAGCAGGCGAAGGTGCAGAGCTCGCCGTTCCTGCCGTGGACGCGTTGAAGCATGTACTCTTCCCCGACATCACAGTCCATCACACGGATGTCGAAGGTCACTGGAACTCCCGGGCCGTCATCTTGCAGACCACTGCACTCACACCTTTCTGAGAAGGAAAATAAAGTTTGTTTAATTTTTAGAATAAAGATAATGCTATAAGTATTCATACTAACGATTTAAAGCGTTAAGAGTATATTTAAGTCTATACTGAACGGAAGCCAAGACATTCATTCATAAAATCACTCATAATACATGCTTGCTATAAATCAGTCACCCACGTTGATTAGCCTACGGTTAACATTCACATATGGTTATATTTTCAATCTTAACTTTTCTAGAGTACTTCCATGGAAAATGACATCGTTTTTCGAAAGAAAAAGCAAACTTCAAGATAAAACTGGATAGTTTTCTTCATGAAGTGCCTGACCAACCGGGCTGTGATGGATATGTGGGCCTGCAGGCCACTCCAAACAGCCTGGTTTGACCATGCCTGGCTTGTGGAGTATAAGAACTCTCAGAGCCATCCAGGTACAATTCTTCTAAATTCTGACTTGAATGCTTAAGTAAATAAGATGCAGCATCCCAATAGCCACCCACCCACATCTTTCCCAGTATGATTGTATCATTACCCCCATCAGGAGTCTCTATTAGAAGTACCAATGACGAGGCCTAGAGATGCCAATATGCCAATTTACACCATCCCTAGTCACTCCCACCTCCAGGAGTCAAAGTCATACCATCCCACACATCCTACCAGGAACCCAGTTATGCTGAGTTCCAATAACAACTCAACCAGGAGCCGTGGCACCTTTATCAGGAGTACCCTGACGAGGGACAAAGAGAGAGAGACACCTACAAGTAAAGTCACACCATCCCCAGCAGAAATTGAAATAAGTTTATTGAGGTAAAATACACACAAAGGGATGAGGTAGCTCAAGCTATTCTCACCCCGTTCAATACATCGTGTTAATACATACATAGACACACACATCACAAACAATAAACATATTACCCCAGCAGAAGTAGAATGAAAAGCAAGCACCCGTGAACCCCGCCATAGTGACTCACCTGAGACTAGCTGTGTCTGGCTGATGCGCTTCGACTTGGTGCCGCAGATGCCGTACTGGGTGTCGTCCTCAGCGGAGATGGACCCCTGAAAGTACGTCCCTGACTCGTCGAAGCAGAGGGTTGCGACCCCTGAGATTTCAACACGTGGACCATCCATGTTGGTGAAGCACATATTTGAGTTTCTGTGTTGACGGCGAAAGACACTGGGACCTATTTTCGTCTTCGGCACGAGTGGAAAGTTCCCAAACTCACTCACTGTACTTGTTCCGAAGAAAATTTGTTACCTCTGGTATACTTGTATATCGTCCTCACAGATGCTTTTGGCAAACAAGTAATACGGTTTTTCTATAATGCTTCGGTTATACTTTGAACAAAAATCGTGAAGCAGCACAAGATATTGCAGCAAAGAGCGTCCTCTGATGTGTGTGGCTGCGTGCTGACTGCGGTGGTGGTGAGCGAGTCAGGTTATATAGCGAGGAGGGCGGAGGTGTGGCCGACCACCGCCGTGCTGGGAGGCTGGGCAACAAGACCAGCTCTCATTGGTCACCTTCCGTAACACGTCAGAGCAGATCTCTCCTGCCACTGGCTGGCTAGATGGCGAGTCCACTCCTGCGAAAGAATGAAGCAATGTTGTTATGTCAACAGACATTAGCGTAAGCATAATAAAGCGCAGAAGGGGAAGATTTAAGTTATGTAAATGTTTAAATGCGCAATGCCAAATTATTTCCGCACATGCGCAGAACTGCTTGTGAATATGGGACTCAATGTAGCTACAGTATATGTATCCAGTGATTTTTTTTCTACCACAGACGTGGCCACACATTTACAATGCTACCCAGCATATATACATTTCCTTCTGTCCTCTATGGATAGGGTGAGAGATCTGTTAAACATATAGTTCAGTGATATTTTGAACAATCGACCACAGAAAGTGATTGTAGCGCTTTTAAAATGATAATCTAATCTATATACATAAATACACAGATTTACGTCTGTGCTACATAAACAGTGTTCGAGGTGTCTTTTTACATAGTGGCATTAATATGCGTTTACAAAGGAGAAATGCAATTCTGACCAGCGCAATAGAAATTGGCATCTGGATTGAAAATTTGAACAAAAAACAACCACAATCCTAGTGATGCACCAAGATTGTTGAAGACTAATACATTAATTACCAAATCTTATCGATCATTTCTGCATATTCTGCACCAGATACGAAGATCCGATCTTAACAGCAAGGTTCATCCCAAGGTGAACAAGTTCCCAGTTAACATTTAATGCAACAAAAACCCCTAAGGCAGAATGAAGTACATTTTCAATATTGGAAGTTATATGCATGCCCGAGTATGGTGATCTGGAACCTATCACACGAGAAGCCTAGCTTGTGGGTTAGGCTTTACCAAGATGACCATATTGATAGACAGCGCAGCTATGCATATTTATATAATTTACCCGAAAAAGGTAGTAGCTATGCCGCAGAGTTAGTCATCACTGGCTCTAACGAATTTAGATTTGCGAATCTTAGGCAAGTTCCTGCACTAATTAATTGACTATAGCCGTTCATCCAAAGCCGACGATAAGCTTTCCACCACTTCAAGGATGGGTATGGGGAGCATTCGATGCTGTTGTTGTTAAAGATTCGCTATCTAGAACAAAAAGTTTTAAGTAGTAGGGGCTATGGTGAGCCCGTAGTTCTTGCCCATTCGATCTCTTTGGTTTTGCCACTTCAAAAATCCACTAACATATAATTGCGTATAATTCGCTCGACTAACAAACTCTTTCTCGTTGTATTAGAGCCGCTTGATGTCACGGTGTTGTTAGTTTAGCAAACTATGAAATCCTGTTGAGTTATATATACTAAATTATATAACTAGTACATCAGTCCTTGCATGGGATAGGCTTGCAGGTTCCGGAAGATGAGAGGAAATGTCAGCACTGTGGAGAAATGCCCGACAGACCACTGGAACATTATCTAACACAGTGTACGGTTACAAACCCATTAAGATTTCAACTTAGATTCAACAGAGCATAAGAAGTTATTAAAAGCACGGAGGCAAAATCTTACTGAGGCGACCATACGCGTCATAAATACTCACACTCCGCCCAAACAGAAATAAGCAACACTTAAGTGGGCCAGCCAGAGGCTTTAGGCCCGCGCAGGAATATCTCTGCAAACAAAAAGAAAAGTGCTGCAATTTGCTTACCAAAACCAATTTTGGGATTCATGTTCCTGAACCCATTATGTCTCTCCGTAAATTTTGCAAAATAATAATAAACTTGTAGAGGAGGAGGAGAGGTTTTCTGGGGGGAGGGGGAAGTAAAGAGGAGGAAGAGGCATAGGTGAAGGGAAGTATAGAAGTGGGAAATACAGTGAGAGGTATGACAGCAGGCGGGCTGTCCGCCTTGCTGACACGATGTGTGGGTGTTGGCAGCTAAGCTAAGCTGGCTCAGGGTGTGTGGGGGGGTGTTGTTCACTTATGCCCCGGTAGGGGGAACCCGGTCGGCGTGATAGGTGGGTGGTGGGGGGACAGGGATGTGGGCAGGTGGTGGTGTGGCCACCAAACGTTCATTGGGGGAGTGGCGGGTGGTGGGTAGGGCGGGTATGTTGTTGTTATGGTGCCTCGAGCCGGCAGTAGCCGTCGTGCTCTTTATAACTGGATTGAGTCAGTTAGCAGCGGACGGTTGGTGGTTGCGTCACTGTTTATGGTGCTACTGGGGCAGTTATTTTTTTTTTTTTTAGGGGTACGGGGGATAGAGAAAGTCTCTGGAAGCGATAATTGGAGGTAAACACGCCAACAACACAGCACCCCGCTTCTCTCTGTATCTATATCGATTTGCTAAGCGTACAATTTATAATTCTAATACACAGGTTACTTTATATTTTAGTACTGGACTACGTTCAGGACTAAGGTATACTTGGTGGTTGGTCAGTAAGTTATTGTGGTGGCCTTGATGACCCTTCCGCGGTTGATAGGCCTTAGGCCTAACTTAAACAGGGAGGGAGGGGCGAGTCAAGCTAAACAGCTTATCATGATGAGTTCAGCACGTTTTAGCTTGACAGGGCAGTCGGCAAGTGGAATGAACTAGACGGGGAAATATAGGAGTCATTGCATTAGACGACCCACTTTTGAAAAAGTGGGGCCCAGAAGCTGAATGCTTTCAGGTAACATACCCTGATGTATATACTATGTATGGAATGGTGGGAATAATAAAAGTATTCTATGACAAGGTAAAGTAGATCAATCAAGAAGAGTTAAATGCCTGCATTTTCATTGGCTGGCAGAAAGCCTCTGACATAGTACTTCAAAATAAGTTGTATGAGCTCGAGAATAAATTATTTATAGCAAGAGGGGTACACGAAGGATGAGTGCCTGGGCCTATACGATGCTCGGACACTGGGGGTGTCCGAGCATCGTATAGGCCCAGTATACAGTACTCGACACTGTCTGAGTGTCGTCCATGTTTGCAACGACACTGAATTTTGAATCTGACACTGAATCTGAAAAATGAGCGATCATTGCAATAGTCAACTGAGTGCTAAACGGCGTGCCTAGGAACTTTAAGGACGACCTTGTAAGCACATTTACGGGGTAGAGTTACTGAAATAAAAAGATTTGATTGATGAAGATTAAGCCACCCAAGAGGTGGCACGGGCATGAATAGCCCGTAAAAATAAAAAGATACGCACTCATGTTAAGTAACACACACCCTCCCTCATCCCATTTCTCCCCCTCATCCAATTGCTTCCCCACACCCCATCCCCCCCCTTCCCTTCATCTCGTTAACGCTGTTCTTCTTGACATTAATGGTCTCCCACCCCGATTGATTGATTGATGAAGATTAAGCCACCCAAGAGGTGACACGGGCATGAATAGCCCGTAAGTGGTGGCGCTTTTGAGCCATTACCAGTATCAAGAGCTGATACTGGAGATCTGTGGAGGTGCAACTGCACCCTGCGTGACGGGAGATGTCTCCCGCCCCCCCCCCCTTTTGGTTGGAATTTAGATATACGAAAATACTCCCAAATATTGGCGTTGACCAAACTTCCCTCCGCCCCTTTCCCTCTTTTTTTCCCATTCCCACCGTACTCTTCGTCACTCCCCCTCACTTTCCCTTCGTCTCCTTCCCCTCACTCTTTTCTCCCCCCCCCCACTACCCCAACATCATCTACATCGTCAGCAGCTGATAAACGAAAAGTCTTAATTTATCTCCCATACTGTATACGCACACGCTGGCAAACACATTCCTCCCCTTGTTGTTGTTGATGATGGAAATAACACAGGCGCGGGTGTCATCCAAGACCTAGAATGTCTGTGGGGACAGTAAAAGGCACTATTTGGCCGGACCAACCGGCCTGTGGTGGGTATGTGGGCCTGCGGGCCGCTCCAAGCAACAGCCTGGTGGACCAAACTCTCACAAGTCGAGCCTGGCCTCGGGCCGGGCTTGGGGAGTAGAAGAACTCCCAGAACCCCATCAACCAGGTATTTGATGCCTTGACTGGAGGTTAGAGTTACACCCCCGTAGAGAAGGAGGTGTTCTTGAAGCAGTGGTATGAAGAAGCAAGGGGGGGCAGCCTGCCTCATCAAGTTCAAGTATGTTTATTGGGACAAGAAAAAATACATCTCAAAGGGGTAGAGTACCTTACCTTGAGGTGCTTCCGGGGCTTAGCGTCCCCGCGGCCCGGTCGTCGACCATTCCTCCTGGTTGCTGGACTCATCAACCAGTAGCTTAGGCTATTTCTACCGCCCTCAGCCTGCCTCATTCGGACCAGCGTAACTGGCACCAACATGCGAGCGTGTTTATACATTACTCTTCAACCTTTTTTACGCCATACTGCCCAACGTTTGTGCTTCACGCACGCCTCAGGCCACAAGTGCATGTGAAGTATGTTCAGGTGAAATAATAATAATAAAGCCGTTTAATACTCGTGTTAACGTGTTTAGAGAGGAGTCAGCCGGGGTGATGTTAGTATTTTGATGAGACAAGACTTGCATTCTACACGTCACCCCCCGGGATGGTTGTCTGATTGATTGATGAAGATTAAGCCATCCAAGTGGTGGCACGGGCATGAATAGCCCGTAATTGGTAGATTTTTGGGAGTGAATGTGATCTTGGGTTGTGAAATGGTCGTGATGATTGATTGATGATTGATGAAGATTAAGCCACCCAAAAGGTGGCACGGGCATGAATAGCCCGTAAGTGGTGGCCCTTTTGAGCCATTACCAGTATCAAGAGCTGATACTGGAGATCTGTGGAGGCGCGACTGCACCCTGCGTGACGGGAGATGTATCCCGGACCAAGTGGTGAAAAACATGGTCGTCTGCCTCAATGTCCTTTATATCCAGTGTGTGTTCGGCGATGTGTCGTTGTGGTGAGGGAGGAGCCAACTCCCCACTCTGAGCCGATTAATATTAAATTAATAATATTAATATATATTTGTGAAAAGTTCTGTTTTGAATGATCAGCATGTTAAAATTGATGAATGCGTCTTTGGGGTCGACCGCTGGATGGAATGGACTTGGCCCGAGGACGGGTTGTGTTGTGCAAGTAGGTCATTACGGAGCCCTGGTCATCATACCCTGGGGCTCAAGGTCAGCGACGTGGCGGCG